GACTCATTACAGTTACAATTATTCTTCCATATAAGTACGTGACCGCAACCACAAAAAAGTAATCCGTTACTTTCGCGGTGTTACTTTCTACCTTACTGTCGTTGGGTAAGACACAAAACACAAGAGTGTATGAAAGTGTTTATTGTTGGCACCAGTAACAGTTTTGTGACCTTGAAGAACAGCTGGCTCTCGAAAGCCTCGTCGGATGTCTTGCTTCGTTTCTAAGTGAAGATGTCGTCCGCAGCGCTGAACACCCTTTCATTTGAGGCGCTCACTAATAGTCGACGCACTGCATTGCGTGCTTCTTGAGAAAAATTTAAAATCTGTCTGCACTGTTGAAAGCGCAAAACTTCGTTGTTGCAGCCGAAGTTTAGTAATGTTAAAATCACAAAGCTCTAAAAATTATAATACATGTAATGAAACCTCGAAAATTCAATATGTGTGAACATATTATTTAAACATATTTTAACCAGCAAATGTCACCAAGCGGTGGTACAGGAAAATAGCAAGGCACGGTAATTACACATAATAGTTAAATTAAAGATTATGTTTTATATCAATCTTCTATTAGCCCTGAACACTTGTCGTGCCTTAGTTGTGACGTCGGTAAACAAGAGGATAAACCTTTTTGGATATGTAGCCAGCAAAAAAACATCAGGGGATCCCTTAAAAAACAAAACTATATAACGTCGATTAAAACAGAGATGCAGACGCACGTATTCACTGGCCTAGTGTTTCTTGATGCCGTCCAAAATACATGTAGTACGGGTCGGCCGTACCTGTTCTTGAGCAAAATGCCGGGGGGGGGGGGGGGGGGGGGGGGGGCGCAGCGTCTCTAAAGAGCGGAAGCAGTAATTCTAATTTTGTGAAATACCTCCTACTTTCACTTCTGGAAGGTGTAAGCAAGCACCTTGATTCTGGTGCCGGTGACCCAAAACCTAAACAACGCAAAAAAAAGAAAAGAAACACAGGACGCACGAAAAGGACGTGACATGGATGTAGTCACGCCGATGCTTTTAGAAGATTAGGTAAAAAGCAGCACAAAATCAAATAAAAATTCATATCTTCCAAAGATGACAAGTGTTCTAATAACTTTTGAGCAGCATGCAAGTTAATGCGGCATCCTTTCAGTCGATTTCTACGTAAAACTTTTTACGGCGGAAAACAAAGCGTCCCCATATGTTGTGACATATGCAAACTCTCGCTATAGCGATTGCTATAACCGAGAAGGGAATTTTTAATTGCCTAGACTCTAGAGCTTTAAGAAGGTCGCAGTCGACGATCCTTTTGTGTCCTCTCCACGTCATCGAAAGCAAAGGAGTGAAGGGACAAAAGAAAAAGCGCGCACAGATCTGCTACACCCACTCGCGTGCCCTTTGATAGTTCTTTTTTCTTTCTTTTTTTTCGCTGGAAGGAAGCATTGTGATTTTGGAAGGTTGCCTAATATTGTTAGCACCGAGAGTTGGGTTCTATGTATCAGTGTGCTTCCCCCTTCGCCGCGGGGGAGCAAGCTGACCAGTTACCATCTGGAGACAACCAGATTGTAACTGTGAGAAAAAAAGAGAGAAACAAATAAAGATTTGAATTTAGATTTTAGGTGACGCGAAGAAAGGTTTTCAGCGTCTGAAGTATGTCAGGCTTTGCGTTTCGTATGTGCTAGTGAAAGTAATTCCGGCTAAACTTACCCCCCCCCCCCCAAAAAAAAAAAAAAAGAGGAAAAAAAAAAGTTGTTTTTATTGTTTCTGCTTTATATTCCCGCTTCTTTTTCCCGTGACTGAAAATAAAAATGTAACGGATTACAATCACTCCCTTACGCAAATAAGTAAAAAAATTACGTTACAAATACTTCGTAAAGTATGTAATCATTCCCTAAAAAAACATACTGATAAACGTAAGGGATTACAAACAATCGCGTCACTTGTTACGGATTACGTACATGTCTGGTTCTGAGAGCTCTGAGCAGTGCGAGAAATTCCCGCCTTTTCTTTTTTTTTTTGCTCCGCGCTCGTAACGGTGACCGGACACAACTGATTGCCGGATACACTTGTGTCCGGGAAAAACACGATGAGCTCACACAAATCGGCTTTGTACACGGCTCATTTTGACGTCATCAAAGTGAGGTCAAGCGCAAAGAGGTTCCGAGTACTGCGCCAGCGTTCGGGTGGGCCACGTGTCCAGTCAATACGTCGAAGAACGCTCGGCATATTGTCACGAATGACAATCGATGAGGCGATGATAACTGAATAAACTAAACGTTTAATTGGGCGAACTTGTGTCCAAAACAAAAAGGAAACAGAAGATAACTGTAAAGCGTCGTGGGCGTCGATGGTGGCGTAACCGCAGGATCGTAACGCTGGGGTGAGACTGACTCCGGCTTGGCACGCGGAGCCTTTCTTCTACACGCGTGGGCTTCTGAAACATACGGCGTAGAAGGTTCGGTCGGTAGAACATTCTAACCTTAAATCGGCAAGACGGTTCTCGAATTTCCCCCAGACGGTTCTCGAATTTACCAGAACATCACATTACAGGGTCAAGGAAAATGTGTAGCCGCGGCCAGAAATCAAACCCTGGCCTTCTGCGTGGAAGGCAAGCGCGATAACCGTTGGGCCACAGGCGCGCTGCCTACTTGGTCAGCTGCGCACGCGGCGTTACTCCCCTCTTTAAGACGTGCATCGCCCCGATGCAATGCAAAACAAAACAAAGCAAATAAAAAGACCGGCACACTAAAGAGTCATTTAGAACTAATAATGTCCACAGTTCTATCGAGCGTAGTACGGCTTCAAGCGCACGACGTGGATGACCTCCGGTCGTGGAGGGCGGCGTGATGAAGTCCGTGTTTCGTCGGGCATCCCCTCGTTGTTCAGATCCCCGAGTCGATGAAGCACTTTGTAGGCTCCGATGTAGCGCTTAGGAGTTTCTCGCTTAGACCGCGTCGTCGTATGGGGGTCCAAACCCACACGCTGTCTCCGGGCTTGAAGCGAACGTCGATCCGGCGAAGGTTTGTGGGCAACCTGGCGATTCCAAGCGGTTGGCCCAGGCTGTCCCTCCGACAATCATAAGTGGTCATCTTGACCACGAGGGGGCCAAGGGCAACTGGCCACGCGAGCGACGCTCCGCCGCTGATAACAGGCCGTCGCAGCGGATGCGCGGGGCTGTTGGGATCGCGGCGCAGGCGATAGCGGCCATTAAATGTTTACGTGTTGTTGAACCGGTGTGCAGTGTCATTCTCCGAGACGGGTAGCAGCAAGGGAAATCCCACAGGTTGTACATGGTAGCGTCGACACGTTGTTACTGAATTCGGAGTCGGGCGAGCTGGCGAACTTCCTCGGCTCGTTGAGCAACCACCTGGGCGTCGGGGATCCCATAGAGAGCTGGTTCGTGGGGCAGCATCGCGTCGAGCACGGTCGTTACTTTTCTGCCATGGACCAGCTGAAACGGTGTTACTCCTGTGGTCTCTTGCACCGCCGTTGTAAGGAAGCTGTGGCGGCCCCCTTTTTTCTTTGCGGGCAGGCGCTTGCGGTCACGCCACCGCCGTGGCCGCCGGGGGAGGGCGTCGGGGTCTTTCTTTGCCCTAAAACCGTTTTGTTTACGGGGTTTTGGTTAGGGTCGCAGGCCCGCCCGTGTTAGCGTCTTGGGGGACAGTAGGTTGTTCCCCCTGCGGGGGTCTGTTGCTTTCGGTGCCGGGGGGTGTCTGTGTTTTTGTGTCGTAGGCGTCCGCCGCATGTCGGCCTCGCCGGGCCGGGTCGGGTTCCACCCCGAGGGACCCGCTGACGGCGCCGTCCTGGCGGCAACCCAAAGCACTGGGGAAACTGCGAGACGTTCGGAACCGGCGCCGGTCTGTCTGCGACCGCTTGCGTGGGCGACTCTACGGAGCTGTCAGCCAAGGGCCGTTGCGAACTTGACGAATGCCTGTGACGACCCCGGCTGATCATTGGGCAATGGACCCCACGTGCCTTTCACGGGTTTTAAAACTATTGGTTGACCGATGCCCGAGAGAGAGGAGGTGAGGGTCCTCAAAGGCCGTTGCCCGAGCGAGAGGAGCTGATTTTGACGGAACTTCGGGAGTTGTTTGAGGCATCCTGCCCCAAAATGTCAATCCCCTACTTTGTACATAGCCACTGTACATAGTTTGTAACTGTAAATAAACAGTTGAAACTCTAACTCGCCGAGCTTTCATCGCCTGCGGAGTACCTCATCGACCGCCGGGCCATGCTCAACCATCGCAGGCCCAACTCCAAACTATCAGCGAACAGTTTCTGGCGCAGTCGACAGGGCGGTCTTTAGAGAACTTCGTCGGCGATTGAAGATCAAGGAAAGGGCTCAAAGTGAGTCAAGACAACGCAGCCAAGTGCTGAACTTCTGGCAACCCTGGGAGCCAGAGCAACCACGACCAGCAGCCGGGACCAGCGGAGCCCCGACTCTGTCCCGAGGGAAGCCACGGCAGGGGAACCTCCAGGCGGCAGCCTGAGTGTCTGCCGAGAACCAACGACGGCGTACGATCAACGGAGCGGCAAGCCGGGTAACCGAGCCAGAAGCCGGTGGCCAGGACCAGAGGAGTCCTGCCCGCGACCCAAGGCAAGCCGTTCGTCGGGTGAACAGCTGGACCAGCGCAGTCAAGTTCGTTCCCGACCGGGCGATCAAAGCCAGCGACAAGGACGACTGGTGGAAGAGCTGCAGCAGCACGGACCCCACGCGGACCTGCAGAAGTTGTGAGCTCTTTCTTGTTTCCCTTTTGGGGAGGGAGCGGTCGAGTCGCAGGCCAGGCCAGTCGTATGATAACGAGGTTTCGGCACCTTAACCCGAACAAACGCACCGGAGGGGCGATGAGCGTCGACGGGGCGGCGGGGGGAAGTGGAACGAGCGCGTCGTCGCGGACGCCGACGAGCGAGCGCGAAAGCGAGCTCAGGTTGGAAGAGGCAAAAGAGCGCACAAGGGCTCTCGAGATAGAGCTAGAGCTCGCTAGATTGGGCGTTCACCGCGCAGCAGAGGGCAGACCAGCGATGACGGGCGAACGAGAAACACAAAACGATCTGAAACATTTCAGCAAAATTTTGTCCGGAGTCATACGGAGATTCCCATCTGAGGCCGAGGTACCTGTGTGGTTCGAGGCTGTGGAGACTACCTTCGAGACGTATGGCGTGCCAAGGGCTATATGGGGCCAGCTAGTGTTCCCGCATGTGGTGGAGCGAGTAAGGTACCTAGCTACCCGGCTCTCCGCGGCCGAGCTCAACGATTATGATCGGGTAAAAGATACCGTTCTCGAGGAGTTGCAGCTCGCGCCCGGGGAGTATCTAAAGCGTTTTCTTAGCGCCGCCAAAGGAAAAGAGGAGGCGTGGATGCCGTTTGCTACACGGCTGCGAAGCTATCTCCACTTCTATGTGGAAGCGAGGGAAATTAAGACCAAGGACGACCTGATCGACCTTTTAGTAGCCGACCAGGTAAAGGCCAGAATGACGCCTGAAGCGCTGAGCTACGTCACTCTAAAAGAGGACACGAACTGGCACAGGGCGCATGAGCTGGCCAAATTGATGAGGGTATTTGAGCAGGCCGAAGGTAGGGGAGCCGCCTCGAAAAGGTCGACGCAAAGGTCCAACAATCGAGCCCTCGAGACGAGGGCAAAACGAAGTCCGGGAGCACATTCGGGTCGACGAAATTCACGCGAGGGCCGGCCGGGGGGCCAAACTCAGATCGGCGAAGGGGTTGCTTCGGCTGCGGCTCTTTGGGCCACCAGAGGGCGAATTGTCCGCACGCTGGGAGCGGGCGCGCAAACGGCAAGGGCGATGTTCCATCAGAAGGCGACAGACTCACCGCCCGGGTCGTCAGGGAGCCGCACTCGTTGCCGCCCAGCGGTCTCGTGAACACCAGACTAGCTTGTGGAGGACGCATGCTCAACGCTATTGTCGACACAGGGGCAGATATAACCGTGGTAAGGGAGTCTCTGGTCCCTGAGGAGTTGAGGAGCCCTTCCGGGAAGATTCAGCTCAAATCTGCTTTCGGAGAGTCGGTGGAGGCGCGTCTGGTAGTGTTGCCGTTGACTATGCACAGCTTGAATTCGGTCCTCGCCGACGTAAACGAGGCGGTGCCGACTCTTTGTGCGCTGACCGACCGACTTATTTCGCGGACCGATTGCCTACTTTCCGGAGAAGCGTGGGAGCTGCTGCAAAAATCGGAAAGCTCGAACGCACCGATCGGAGCAATCGCGGCCGTCGCGGCGGGGGAAACAGAACAGCTCGCGACGTCCACTCCTCCGCCGGAGTCCGTAGAGGGGTTGGAGACCAGTGTCCAGACTTGCGAGGAAGAGGGCGCCAGCAACGCCCGTAGGGAATCGAGTCCTTCGGACGCAGCGGAGATCGAAACAGATGACGGGCTCTCGGAGCGATCAAAGTTCCGAGAGCAGCAGCTAAAAGACCCTACTCTGAAAGAGGCCTGGGAAAACGGGCGCAGGAAACGGAGCGGCATGCTGATTAAAGACGGGTTGCTCTTTCATCGGGACAGGTTGTTGGGGCAAAACGTCCACCAGTTGGTACTGCCGGCTCAGCGGAGACCCGAGGTGATGGGATTGGCACATGAGTCATGCTGGGGCGGACATCTGGGTTTCAGAAAGACGAAAGCGCGGGTCAAGTACGCTTTCTACTGGCCGGGGATAGAGAGGGACATTAGGGAGCACTGCTCGAGCTGCCATGGTTGCCAGGTTAGATCCGACCTGAGGCAGACAGACCGCGTTCCTATCACCCCACTGACGAGACCCGAGTTTCCTTTCCAAACGGTAAACATCGACGTAATCGGACCACTTGACACGCCGTCAGCTAGAGGCCACAGGTACGCGCTTTGCGTTATTGACTTGTGCACACGCTGGCCAGAAGTGGTGTGCTTGCGGTCGCTGTCGGCGAAGGCAACCTGCGAGGCGCTGTTGACCATCTTCAGCAGGACAGGAATACCAAGCGTCATATGTTCCGACTGTGGCACTAACTTTACGGCCCAGCTCACGAGAGAGTTTCTCGCTCGCCTCGGCTGCAGCCCTCGGTTTTCGACACCTGACCACCCCGAGAGCAACGGCGCCGTCGAGCGCTGGAACAGGGTGTTTAAAAACATGCTGTTCCATGTCATCGAAAAGGAGGGCCGTGGCTGGGACAGGTTCGTACCTTTCCTGCTGTGGGCATACCGTGAGGTGCCGCACGACACAACTGGTGTGTCGCCCTTCCAGATGCTGTACGGCCGAAGCCCCACTGGCCCGTTGACAGTGTTGCAGCAGTCTTGGACGGGCGACATTCCGATCCCGGTAACACTAAGGGAGTCACCTGCAGAGTACCTGCGGAACCTAAAGGGTCAAATCGAGCGCGCCGCAGAGGAGGCCGAGCTGACGGCGCCGGCCCGGCAGAACGCGTATGCGACGCAGCATAACAAACGGGCCTCCCCGAAGGCGTTTGGGGTGGGCGAAAAGGTGTTAGTGTTCGACTTGGACCGACCGGGTAAGATGTATCCGAAATGGATAGGGCCGTGCGACGTCCGAGCGAAATTTCGAGACCAGTCGTACTACGTGGACATGCCGGACGGTAAGCACAGACTGGTGCATGCCAACAAGCTGCGGCCCTACACCTGTCGCGTTCAGAGCATTGGTGTTGTATTCCAGGAAGATGGCGACTTCGGAGATATAGAGTGCACCCCGCGAAGCATGAGCATCTGTCCTGCGATGCGACTGCCGGAGTCGTACGTGGCTCATCTGGGGGATGACAGGCGGCTCGTTCGGGCGGTGTTCGACAGGCATCACGCGCTCTTCTCGCCCAACACAGGGATCGCAGAAGTGGGAGAACACCACATTAGGCTGGACCCGGGGTACGTGCCGAAGCGGGCCCACCCTTACCGCATTCCCGAAATGTTACGGGGGGAGGTCGGGCGCCAAATTGACGAGCTGCTCCAGACGGGCCTGATCTACGAATGCGAGAGCCCCTTCGCTCATCCCGTCGTGTGCGTGGCGAAAAAGGATGGCTCGGTGCGTCTCTGTGTAGACTATCGGCAGCTTAACTCGGCGACGGAGACAGACGCTTTTCCGATGCAGTTCCCGCACGATCTCATCATGCGCGTCGGTAGAGCAAACTTTGTCACACTTATCGACCTTCGGAGGGGCTACTGGCAGGTGCCGTTGGCGGAGGAGTCTCAGCTCGCCACGGCGTTTGTGTCCCATCGGGGGCAGTTCGCCTGGCGCGTCATGCCTTTCGGCCTGAAGAACGCAGCTGCGACCTTCCAGCGTATCATGAACTCGGTTCTTTGCGAGCACCAGCGCTATTCCTGCGCGTACCTTGACGATATCGCGGTGTTTAGTGGGACACTCCCCGAGCACGCGAGGCACCTGGAAGCTGTCTTCACAGCACTGGAGAAAGTAGGACTTTCGGCCAATATCGAAAAGTGCCAAGTGGCGCTGCCCGAGATCAGGTACCTTGGACACGTGGTGGGGTCTGGAAAACACGCGCCAGACCCGACGAAGCTGGCAGCGATCGAGGGTTTGCGGGTTCCTACCACTAAGCGGGAGCTGCGTAGCGCGCTGGGCCTATGCGGATATTATAGGGACTACATCGCAAACTATGCCGAGACTGCGAGACCACTCACCGAACTAACTAGTAAAAAGGTGCCGTCCAAGCTGCCGTGGAACGATGATGCCGACAGGGCATTTGCGGCTTTGAAAAAGGCGCTGTGCGACGCGGTGGCGCTCTACACGCCCGATCCGGAAAAGCCTTACTGGCTGTACACCGATGCCTCGGCCATCGCGGTGGGGGCCTGTTTGGCCCAAATGGGAGAGGGTGGGCAGGAGAAGCCGATTGCGTTCGCCAGTCACCGCTTTACACCCACTCAGACGCGGTGGTCCACAATCGAGCGAGAAGCATTCGGGGTGATATGGGGCCTAAAGAAGTTCGACGTATGGCTATTCGGCGCTTCCGTGACGGTGGTCTCCGATCACAACCCTCTGTCGTTCCTCACCCTGAGCGTCCCTCACGGTGCCAAACTAACCAGGTGGGCTCTAGCCCTCCAGAGGTACGACGTCAAGGTCGTACACAGGAAGGGTGTTAGACACGGGAACGCGGACGCTCTGTCCAGAATATCAAACCGATGCTGGGGGCCCTGCGACGCGGCCAGCCGCCCTTCCGGACTGGGTGACGAGAGGAGCCGGGCCTCCCAATGCTAAGCGACCGCGGTAGCGTTCGCGGGTGTGTGTTTGTGCTTTCATTGATGTGACCGTTTACCACGTTTCTATTCAAGCGCACTTAGAAGTAGGAAGTGAAAACTATATTCTGTGTATCCGTTTTGTTAGCTTTCCCACCACTGAGAGTGTGGTTGTTGTATGAAGGGCATTGCTCCACGTCATCCGCATTCGTAGTTTTTGTCGCGGTTGAAAATGGTAGCGATTTTTGTTTGTTTTACATGTTTATCGAACACCGTGACCGCAAGGTTAGTCCGGTGTGCTGTCTGCACGTTATGAACACACTTGTGTCGGGCTCCTTTAGGTTTCCCATGTTTTTTTTTTAAATAACTGTTAGCAGGTCCAAGAAGGACCAGGAACAGTCTTGGGGGGAAGGTGTAAGGAAGCTGTGGCGGCCCCCTTTTTTCTTTGCGGGCAGGCGCTTGCGGTCACGCCACCGCCGTGGCCGCCGGGGGAGGGCGTCGGGGTCTTTCTTTGCCCTAAAACCGTTTTGTTTACGGGGTTTTGGTTAGGGTCGCAGGCCCGCCCGTGTTAGCGTCTTGGGGGACAGTAGGTTGTTCCCCCTGCGGGGGTCTGTTGCTTTCGGTGCCGGGGGGTGTCTGTGTTTTTGTGTCGTAGGCGTCCGCCGCATGTCGGCCTCGCCGGGCCGGGTCGGGTTCCACCCCGAGGGACCCGCTGACGGCGCCGTCCTGGCGGCAACCCAAAGCACTGGGGAAACTGCGAGACGTTCGGAACCGGCGCCGGTCTGTCTGCGACCGCTTGCGTGGGCGACTCTACGGAGCTGTCAGCCAAGGGCCGTTGCGAACTTGACGAATGCCTGTGACGACCCCGGCTGATCATTGGGCAATGGACCCCACGTGCCTTTCACGGGTTTTAAAACTATTGGTTGACCGATGCCCGAGAGAGAGGAGGTGAGGGTCCTCAAAGGCCGTTGCCCGAGCGAGAGGAGCTGATTTTGACGGAACTTCGGGAGTTGTTTGAGGCATCCTGCCCCAAAATGTCAATCCCCTACTTTGTACATAGCCACTGTACATAGTTTGTAACTGTAAATAAACAGTTGAAACTCTAACTCGCCGAGCTTTCATCGCCTGCGGAGTACCTCATCGACCGCCGGGCCATGCTCAACCATCGCAGGCCCAACTCCAAACTATCAGCGAACAGTTTCTGCCGTGTTGTAAGCGAACGTGACGTAGGGTAGCACCTCGTCCCCCGTCTTGTGCTCTACGTCGTCGACATGAAAATCATGTCGACGATAGTTTTGCTTAGTCTTTCCGTTAGTCCATTTCTCTGTGGATGGTACGCGGTGGTTCGAGGCTGACTGGTGCTACTGAGACGAAGAATGTCTTGCGGCAGCTGAGCCATGAACGATGATCCACGGTCTGTAATGAGGATTTCGGGGACGCCGTGCCGGAGGACAACAGACTGGATGAAAAATTTGGCGACTTCAACAGCAGTCCCTGAATGAATGCTTTCGCTTCGGCGTATCGCGTGAGATAATCTGTGGCGACGATTATCCAGCGGTTTCCCGATGTTGAGGGTAGAAAAAGGCCAAGTAAATCCATTCCAATCTGTTGGAACGGCGTGGACGGGGGAGCAATCGGACGCAGAAGCCTTGACGGCTTCGTCGGTGGCTTCTTGCGTCGCTGACACTCGTGGCGTGATCGAGTGTAGAGGTGAACGGTCTTCGGTACCCTTGACCAGCAGTGTTTTTCCCGAATCCTGGAGAGCGTCCTGCTGTAGCCAAGGTGCCCAGCCGTTGGATCGTTGTGGCAGGCTTGGAAGATCTCCCCTCTAAGGTCATCAAGGATTACCAGCAGCCATGGCGAGCTGTTGTCTCGGAAGTTATCCTTGTAGAGTACACCTTGTCGAATGACTGAGGTCGGCAGGGCTCTCAAGAAGACACGGGGAGTAGTACCCCCTCGTGTCGAGGTGCCCGATTAGCGCGCGCAACTCAGGATCGTCTCTTTGACGTCGCGCCATGTTGTCCGTGTTCACTGGCCCTAGAAAGCACTCGTCGTCATCGTCGTCGCTGCTGCCGGGAGATGTCTCGACAGGGGCTCTGGACACGCAATCGGCGTCGCTGTGCTTGCGACCTGACTTGTAGACCACAGTCATGTTGAACTCCTGCAGTTGGAGACTCCATCGAGCGAGACGTCCTGACAGGTCCTTTAGGTTCGCAAGCCAGCAGAGCAAGTGGTGGTCCGTGACAACGCGAAAAGGGCGCCCGTACAAGTACGGGCGAAACTTCGTGATTGCCCAGACGACCGCAAAAAATTTGTTTTCAATCGGGGTGTAATTTCTCTCCACTTTGGAAAGTGTTCGACTTGCGTAGGCGATGAATCGCTCGGTGCTTTCTTGCACTAGAACTAGTACCGCGTCAAGTCGTTCTTTACTTGCGTCCGTACGAATCTCGGTTTCCGCGTCTTGCTCGAAGTTTCCAAGAACAGGAGGAGTCTGGAGTCGTTGCTTCAGCTAGTCGAATGCGTGCTGCTGCTCATCGGCAAATTCGAACTCATCGGCGTCCGTGAGTTTAGTGAGTGGTGCGGAAATCCTTGCGAAATCCCGAACGAAGCGTCGATAGTAGGCACAAAGACCAAGGAATCTTCGCACAGCCTTCTTGTCTGTTGGCGCTGGCAATGCCGCGACGGCTCGAGTCTCCTCGGGGTCTGGACGGACGCCTTCGTTACTAAACACGTGACCTAGGAATTTCAGTTCGTCATTGGCGAACCGGCACTTTGACGGCTTGAGGGTGAGTCCGACGGTCTTTATGGCTTGGATAACATTACAGAGTCAACAAAAATGTGTAGCCGCGGCCGGGAATTGAACCCTGGCCTTCTGCGCGGAACGCAAGCGCTATAACCGTTGGGCCACAGGCGCGCTGCCTCCTTGGTCAGCTGCGCGCGCGGCAATATGACGTTACATGGAGGCAGAAGAGGATGTTCACAAGCTTTAATTATATCAGGTAATGTTGTCTCAGCAGGAAAAACAAAATCAAGCTTCGTAGTAGAACTGTTTATACGAAACGTTTAACCGCAAATAGACCTCGACTCTTTTTGGTCTCTCTTTCTCGGGCAAAAGTCAACGCTTGCGCGCCCTCCGGTCGCTTGGCTAAATTCGACGCCAATTTTCTGCCTTTTACATATACTGTGCGTGTATGCGTCGTTTTACGGCTGTGACTGCGACTTCGAGCCTCGCTTCCTTGAAGCTTTATGATGTTTGGGAGCTTTGCACAGGAGGAAGCCCTTGGGCATACAATATTTTCTGACGTGCTGTTTTGTCCAAGCACGATCCAAAAGAGCCAGGAAAGAGGACCTCGATTCTTGGTAAGCCATGGAGGTGAGGCCTCGGGCAGCAATGACGCAGGCAGGTCGGAGGTGCACGTTGATTTCTCTGCATGCCTGGCAATTGTTTTGCTATCTTTATAGCCTCACTTGCTACGTGCGTCATGAAAGAGCCCGGCGGTGCTAGCTCCTTGCGTTTCTGTCCGAGGTCGAGGTAAGTAAAGTCGCTGTCATTAACCCTGCGTAAGCACTTAAAGAGCGTTATATAGATGCTAGATTTCTGAACCGCCAAGGTTATTACTTTTGTCGACCGTAAAACAGAAGTTAATTCTAACTTTAATATCTGA